ACCTGAAAAGTCATTGTCAACTGCTGGAATCCATTGGATTCTCTTTATTAATTGAATTAGAAATAGTTATCGCCATCTTCAAACACTGTGTAACTGGATGCAAAATGAGATGCTTTCTTTTCTTGGAATTTCAGATGAAGCTTTAAAACTCATAACAACCCCTACTGTGCTGTAAAAAAAACTCCACAGTGGTGGCCACACTGATCAGGTGATCATCTACTTTCAGTACCTTATATAAGAGAAAATGAGGTCTCACTAAAGAACAGTGCACCCACGCACCTGTTCTCCTCCTTAACAAAGGCTTATTAACATAGACATTTGAATATTGTAGCTGATGGATGGCTGTCTAGAATTAAACCTCACTGCGTCCACTTGTTCAGCTGTCCTCCCAACAGCCTCAGCCACAAAAGGAAAACTGGCACCAGATCAGTGGGAGCTGGTTTCTTTAATGAACCCTTGGGATTTTTAAACCACATATCACTCTCATGATTATATTCCTTCATCATACTACCAAGTTTTGGATAAGCACATCCATAAACTACATATATGCTAGTACAGTTGTGAAGTGAGTTGTTTTCATACCCACAAGTTGAAACAGTCTCGGATTTTTGCCCCTTTGGAGTTTACCATCTTGTTTTAAGCCACATCAAATATCAAAGGAATTTCATCCATATTTGCTTTCTGTAAAAGTTCAAAACAATTCTTTCATTAGTAATGTACCTATGAAATCAGTGATTGTCTCTTTATCAGCTAACATTTTACGTGCTGTTTTCCCTGGCCCAAACCCACAGTAGGTTATTTCTCTTTGTGATCTAGAACACTAGGCTGTTAATCTGGTCAAATCATTAGTGCCTCTGTTGCTCTCCATCATTTTTTATGAATACTGAACTTTCTGGAGCTTTCAAAAAAAAATCTAATGCATGTTTTAATTCCTTGTAGCTATGACCACTTCACAGTCCCCTGTCAGGATATCTCTGAGATCCAGCAGATGAAAGTATGCTGTTCATGTTTTCTCCAAGTCTTTATCATTTTCTCACCTAATTACCTTCCTGCAGTTCTAATATCCTATTCTTTCTTCAATTGGAAAACGCCAAATATGAACTTAATATCATGCCATGGAATATAGTGGTAATAAATATGAATCTAAAATGTCTGGAGAGGTACCCAAACTCTACCTTGAGTTAGTGGTATACCCTGTGGCTTGGTATATTTTTGGTCAAAACTGTCAGGATGGTGTTAACCTTACATCTCTGCTGTGTTGTTTTGTGTTGCCATATTTTAACCACAAGGGGGCAGCATCACCACCTTCACTGTCTCCCATCTTTAATATGGGTGCATTGGGCCAGGGTAGAGAAGAAAGGTTTTACAACTTTAAAAAACAATATTCGTCATCTGGTGATGATTGTAAATATGATGGTGATGATTACTGGAAGAGAGTTGAAGAGTGTTTCCTGTAATTGAGGAATTTGTCTACAAACATAAATCCCCTCTTTTGTGAGAGTAGTATTCATGGGGACCTTTGCTAGTATGCTTCAGTCTTTCCATTAGCTCTGCTAATAATCAGGTTAGAAAAGTCAAGAAACAATGAGTTACATGAAGCAGGCTCTGATTTTTAGGAGAAAGATAGTCTGTAAATGACTTATTTTGGTTTCCTGATGACATTTAAGTTCAATCATGTTCCAGGTAGCTGCCTCCAGATGCTGCAGATCATCCTGTATTATGATGAGTGTCGAAGGGCTCTAGAGTCATCTTTGTCATGTAAAACTTCATCAGAAAATAACTGTCTAACCAGGGGGTGAAATAAGACTAAAAAGCATCACAGAGTTCATCTAGAGTGGAGGGAGGGCCCCCCACAGAGCTCTTAACAGCTCCACTGCCACCAGTCTCATTACCATGACACCTGCAAAGGAGCCACTGCTGCCACAGCTGGTCCCAGTCACCATCACTGTGTCCGCAGACATGAGCAGTGAGGCTGAGACACTTGGCATGACACCATGGGCAGAGGCAGAGGGAGTGACAGCCTGCGAACAGGACAAGAAGGTTATCCCAGTGAAAGTTTGGGAACAGTAAGATGGTTCCGTGTAAGAAACATATATGGTTTCACCCACAGGAATGACACTGGGTGAGATGTATTTGTATGCCAGATTGTCATAAAGAAGAATAACCCCCAGGAAGCACCTTGGCAGTACAGGGGATAGAGAAGCTGTGGAGTTCAATGTTGAAGGAGAAAATGGTACACAGGCAGCAAAGATTGCAGGCCCTGGTGGAGTTCCAGTGCCAGGCAGTATAGATACAGTAGACTGAAGCCATTATAGATGTTATCTGCACCATGGGGGTCTTCCACACGGTCACCAGCACAATTACCAGAACAATGAGAGTGGGGAAAAGAAGGATTGGAGAGTGCCCTTCAACGTCAGGCCTTACAGCACACGGAAGATGCCTCCTCCCTTGGAGAGACCCTATGAGTGTTGACTTGTAGAGACAAGTGATGGAGGGTGCTGACGACCAGGGTGAAGGAGAAGAGATAGGTCAGTGAGACAGATTACGTATTGGGGTTACAGACCACAAGTCTCCAGGGCCCCTCCTCACCTAGAACAGTAATGAAGACCCAAGGCCAGCAGCCATGTCAGTGTAGGCACCTCCTCAACTTCAGTTACCAGCACAGACACCCAGAAAACCCTAAACCACAAGATGGTAAAGAGACTGCCAGCTAGGAAGTCCGTTGCCAAGGCCGAGCAGAGCAGGGCTGAGTAAATGCCAGCTGACCATCTCTAGTGTCATCTGGTTTATCATCCCACAGGAAGAAATGAATATAAATTCCAGCAATAAGACCTGAACAAAAGATTGGCTCTGAAGACCTTAAATGCCTGCTTTTGGCCCATTTACCAGACAGCTAGCACTATCTGAGTTATGGAGTTTTCATTACTTTTCCCTACAGACATCTCTTTTTGGTAATGATAAATATGTTTTTTAAAATATGTTTTTTTAAAAGGTCTGGGGCCAGGCATGGTGACTCACGCCTGTAATCCCAGCACTTTGGGAGGCCGAGGCAGGTGGATCACCAGAGGTCAATAATTCGAGACCAGCCTAGCCAACATGACAAAACCCCATCTCTACTAAAAATACAAAAATTAGCAGGGCATGGTGGCGGGTGCCTGTAGTCCCAGCTACTGGGGAGGCTGAGGCAGGAGAATTGCTTGAACCTGGGAGGCGGAGGTTGCAGCGAGCTGAGATTGCACCACTGCACTCCAGCCTGGATGATGAAGTGAGACTCTCTCAACAATAAATAAATAAAATAAAATAAAAGGTCTGGTTTTTCTTATATGCCTTTAAAGGTTTTCAAATTGTTTCATATCTGGTCAGAATGAGATTATTAAGAAACTCATTTTTTAAGTTGTAAAAAAATCAAGTTATTTTATTACAAGTCAACAAACTGCAATTATCTGTTAATATGGGTCTATAATAATGATAATAATGCAACACAGATGCAGATTTTGGCTTAAAGAACTATGTTTTTCTAGATTTTATATTTTAATTGTTATTCAACAATGTCTTGTGAGTTCTTACATATCTCGGTGATAAGAGACATTATAGAACATTACACATGGAAGACAATAAACATTGTTCTTTCTTTTTCTCATACAACTTTCTCCATTAATGGCAAAATGAGATGAGGAAGCAAATATACCATTCTGTCTTTTAATATTTCCAGCAAAGAACTGAATTTAGAAAGAAGTCTGAAATTTTCCTCCTAAGAGAATTATAGAAAGTGTCTGATAGTCATTTATGGCTGTTTTTGTTTTTGTTTTTGTTTTTAAATCTTTCACTCACTTTTCCTTGGGCACATCTGACTCATGTTCAGGTCCAGGGAGCCACACTCTTTCCTTATTCACAGAACTGAATGCTTATACGTGATCTTGCTGTTTTTATTTTTCCCTAATGGGAAAGCCCTACTAAGAAGGGTATGAGACTTACATACTTGTAGCTGATGATCTTAGCCATCTCATAGCTACAGCCCCAAGAAGCCAGCTCTCCAGCCCCTGAATCCTGACTGCTCAAATGTACACTGCAGTGCTTCACTTCCCAAGGGGTGTAATTACCTTCTCCATGATACCCAGTGCTTCAAATGACCTAAGCAAAAGAATCCCCCTGCCCTTTCTTCTGATGCGTGGCAAAGCAAGTTACATTTATAGCAACTAGAAATTCCAGTGGCCTGGTCCTTGCTGGCACATGGCAGCAGGACTGGCTTGAGGGATGCTGCTGGGTGAAATGAAAGAGCTCAGCAGTTCTGCTCTGTGCTGTCCTGGCCAGAAAAATCTTTGCTGCTTGTCATCCCATCTTCCTCCACTAGAAGCCTGAGAAATGAGGCATGCTCAGGTGTTAAAAGTGGTCACAGGGCTTGCTGGGTGTGGTGGCTCACACCTGTAATCCCAGCACTTTGGGAAGCTGAAGCCAGCAGATCACTTGAGGTTAGGAGTTCAAGACCAGCCTGGCCAACGTAGTGAAACCTCGTCTCTGCTAAAAATACAAAAAGAAACCAAACAAACAAAAATAGCTGGGTGTATTGGCGGATGCCTGTAGTCCCAGCTACTTGGGAGGCTGAGGCAGGAGAATTACTGGAACCTGGGAAGTGGAGGTTGCAATGAGCCGAGATCGTGCCACTGCACTCCAGCCTGGGTGAGAGAGTGAGACTCCACTCAAAGAACAAAAAAAGTGCTCACAGTGTCATAATACCACCGAAGGTCCTCCTGGTGGCCGAACAACTTAAATACCACCACCTTGTCCTCCTGGTGGCTGAACAACTTAAATCAGACCAGAATAGATGGATGCTTAACCCTTTCAATCCTGAAGGCCCATGCAGTTAGTTTCTCCTAAGATACATACCCCATGTTGTTTCTAAGATTATTGCTGCATTTCTTAGTTGAAAATCAGCCATGCCATTATTTCTACACTTTCTCTATCCTTCCTCAGGCCTGATGAGTTTTTTTCCACTCTTTCAGGGCTCATTGTTGGGGTGATCCTGAGGTATGGTATCCCTGCTACCAGTGGCCGTGACAAATCACTCAGCTGTACTCAGGAAGACAGGGCCTTCAGTACCTTATTAGTGAATGTCAGCGGAAAGTTCTTCGAATACACTCTGAAAGGAGAAATCAGCCCTGGCAAGATCAACAGCGTAGAGCAGAATGATATGCTACGGAAGGTGAGCTGGGGACACTCAGTCATCATTGTCCTGACATGGTTGTTGATTCCCTGACTCGTCTTGACCTTGTGGAGAGAAATCCTTCCAAACTCCTGGATTACTGGTAACATTCCTGGCTCTCTGTTTTGTTAGGAAGCTTTTTGGTCCATGATGAGGAGAAGGAAGAACCAGATCTTTAACTTGAGCCTTTCAGCTAGTGACCTTTGTGGGTTTGTTAGCATCTGTAGCTGAAATGGGTCACTGATTGTGCAATGGGTTTGTACGTCCCCACTCAGGTCATTTATCCAGCCACCATCTCCTCTTTGCTATGTCTGTTACCCTTCCTGTGGTTTAGGGATAATATTGCTACTTTCTTAAAATAAGGTTGATTTCACCTTTATCTTAATTTATTCAGTATTCACAAGGGTAATTCTTAGTTCTTCACGGTTCTTTTGCTATATCCTACAAATATTTGAGTGCTTACTCTTATTGGTGATTGATGCCAAAGGCTTAATGAATCTTCAGGGGAAGAAGAAGATCTCGTTGTCTTAGAATTAGAGTCCAAGCATTTTCATTTAATGTTGGAGTAGCAACATAGTCCACATGAAAAAGCATTATGCGTCTCCTTGCACGGGTAATTTCCAGGATAAGCAAGAAATCTGTATGAATTGATGTATACTGCATTACCTTATAGACCAGGCTTTATCAGAAGGAAGCCTTCTGTATAGCAGTCTTGGGAGACCCAGGTTGTGAGGAGCCCCTTTTAGTACAGCACAAGGCTAAGGTATGTGAAGGCTGACAGTGAAAGGCAGAGTGTAGCGTGTGCTCCAGAAATTAAATTCTTGTTGTTTTTGGAATCTACTCTAATCCTTAAGGAAAATTATTCTCCACCTGGAGCATTAAACATGACCATCTTTTCTGTGTCCCTAATGGCAGTACTCTTTGCTCTCAACTCTTCATAAGAAAGCATGGGGTTTTCATAAACATTCTGAAATTCAGTGCAACTGAGAAAGAAACCCAATGTAAATACCACACTTAATGGCTGTTTGGAAATGGCAGCTTGAGCCCTTCATATTGGATAAGATAGGGGGAAAAGGGAAATGATACCAACACATTTCCATCTTTCAGTTCATAATAGAAGAGGAAGCTGACTTTTGCTCCCTTATCTTTAGAAACCTGTTTATTTAAATCCCCTCTGTTTAAAACTTTGCTGCACAAAGCAAAGGTGGGAGAACAATCAAGGCCAGGATGATTGTTGCTAGTTGAGGGAAAAGAGACATGTTGATGTAGCTTGATTGATAAGGAGAGGATTGAACTGAGTGTCAGAAAACCCTTATGCTAGTTTGTACATTATTGGGTTTGGTGGCATCCAGCAAGTTTCACTGCCTTTGGGCCCAGTGTCCTCATATTGGGTAGGTACTGTCCAAGGCTCCTTCTTATTCTGACATTCCTTGCTTTGCAGAACGCTCTTCTTTAACAAGAAGAGAGAATAAAGCATCATTTGAAAGAATCTACTTTTATTAGGCTGATTAACACCTCCAGTTTCTAAACAAAAAAGTTAACGTTTAATAACTAGAATGAAGGTTTAAAAATAATTAATTGAAACACAAGCCAAGTAATTGACCAGCATGAACAAATTCTTTAAAAAGGTTAGCATGTTTATAGCATGCTGAATTTTTTTCTGGATATGATAAAACTTTGCTCTCTAAAAGTTTCAGAGTCATTTGATTAATTTCCCTGTATCAAACCTATAAGAAATTTCAGTTCCTTTAAAGTTGCCCAATTTATGCTGATGTTCAGGAAGCCACTAACATTGCTGGTGACTTTGATTTAGGCTACATCAAGTGTCACAGAAGGCTGGTCACTCAAAAGAGACTTAAATTCAGCACAATTTTGTCTATAAAGGATTCTGTGAGAGGATCCAGGAAGTTAATAAAGAATCACGATGGCATCTTTTATTGCAGTTGAGCCTTTAAAAGGTGTGATGAAAATCAATATTTTGTTTTGTTTTGTTTTGTTTGTTTTTTGAGATGGAGTCTCGCTCTGTTGCTCAGGCTGGAGTGCAGTGGCGCGATCTCAGCTCACTGCAACCTCCGCCTCCCGGGTTCAAGCGATTCTCCTGCCTCAGCCTCCCAAGTAGCTGGGATTACAGGCATCTGCCACCATGCCCAGCTAAGTTTTGTATTTTTAGTAGAGATGGAGTTTCACTGTATTAGCCAGGTTGGTCTCGAACTCCTGACCTTGTGATCGGCCCGCCTCGGCCTCCCAAAGTGCTGGGATTATAGGCGTGAGCCACCGCACCTGGCCAAGATGTTTTTATGAAAAACACTAGCCGGAAGCTTTCTGTGAGTTCTCAAAATTGCATGAAACTGTTGTGTCTTATTATGTTTTAAAACAGCACAATCAAGATCATAAGAGCAAAATGTTATGGGGATAAGAGCATGCCAGTCCATGGGGAGTCATAGCTTCTCCTCTGGGATAAGTCCATGATTTTTCACATTTATGTTATTTGCTCTAAATATTCAAACTTTAGTCAATGGCTTCAAATATTAAGCAAATATTATAGCATGAATTGGAGTTAAATAAAAAATTGGCTTTTTTTTCTTTTTAAACTTTCAGGTAACATTCGATCCAGAAGTATTTTTCAACATTCTTCTGCCTCCAATTATTTTTCATGCTGGATACAGCTTAAAGAAGGTAAGAGGTTTTTGCCAATATTTCTGAAATCATGTGAATCTCTGTGTTAATTTACCTGCATAATTTTCTAGTTATTTTTCTTCTCCCAGATTGCTTATTACTCTGTTCTTCACCCACTCAGAGACTATAGTTGACTTCTCATCAATGATTCATTTCTGTTTTAAAATCTGGAACTCCCATACATTGCCAGTGGGAATGTAAAATGGTACAGCCACTCTGGAAAACAAGTTGGCAGTTTCTAATAAAACTAAAGTTGAAATTGCCATATGACCCACAATTTCACTCCTGGGGATTTATCCCAGAGAAATGAAAACCTATGTTCACATAAAAACCTATACATGATTGTTCATACCAACTTGTAATGGACAAACGCTGGAAACAACCAAAATGTTCTATAATAGGTGAATGGTTAAACAAACAATGGTATATCCATATTGTAGAATACTACTTAACCATAAAACAGAACAACCTATTGATACACCCAGTGACCTTTATGGATCTCAAAGGCATTATGCTGAGTGAAAAAAATCCAATCTTAAAAGGTTATATATTCTATGATTTCATTTATATAGCATTGTAAAAATGACAAAATTAAAGGGTTGGAAAACAAATTAGTGGTTGCCAGTGAATAGGGATGGTGGGGGCATTGGGCTGGGGGTGCTTATAAAAGGGTAGCATGAGGGACATCTTCAGGGTGATGGAACAGTTGTGTATTTTGATTGTGGTGGTAGTCATGCAAATCTACACATTTGATTAAATGACAGGGAACTATGCACACACATAATACATATAATGCCAGTTTCTTGGTTTTGATATTGTACCATAGTTATGTAAGATGTAATCACTGGGGGAAACTGGGCAAAGGGTACATGAAACCTCTCTGTACTTAATCTTTGCAACTTATGTGAGTCTATAATTATTCCAAAATAAAAAGTTTTAAAGAAACTAAGTATCCTTATTACTGAGGGTCATTGTGCTAGACAGCAAGGTTGGGCCAGAGCTTCTAGTTATTTAAAATACAAAATACCAGCCTAGGCAACATAGCAAGACCATGCCTCTACAAAAAGTAAAAAAAATTAGCTGGGCATGGTGGTACACGCCTGTGGTCCTAGTTACTCTTGGAGGAGTCTGAGGTGGGGAGCTTGAGCCTAGGAGTTTGAGGCTGTAGTGAGCCTTGATTATGTCTCTGTACTCCAGTCTGGGCCACAGAGCAAGACCTGGTCTCAAATAAATAAATAAATAAATAAATAAATAAATAAATAAATGAAAACAAATGCCAAATATCTTTACAAATATTTATGGGTGGCTCTCTCCCTCTCCCATTGTGGTAATATTGTCTGAAAATTAAGCCTCCCCAAAGGCAGGTAACAGCTGTGGAACTTGTTTCAGCTCTCTTTCTGAATGAGGACTAAAGGAAACCTTTTCAGTGAGTCTAGAGAAGAGAGATTTTGCCTGACAATAAAACTCAGCAACATCCTTAGGATCTAGAAAATGCCTCCGAAACTGATAAACTCTAGCTAGATCAGTTGAGAAAAAAGGAGGAAAGAAACAAATTACCTGTATTAGGAATATAGGAAGGGACTTTACTACAGACCCTTCAGATATCAAAAGGATAAGGGAATACTATGAACAATTTTTGTGCCAATAAGTTTGACAACATCCTAATGAGATCTTGCCATGAAAAACAACTCAAAAAAAGAAAAATAAATAAATCTGGCAACCCAGGTGAAATGGACAAATTCCTTGAAAGACGTAAATTATCAACCTGAGAAGAGATGGAAAGCTTGAACCGACCTATATTAAAGAAATTGAGTTCATAATGAAAAACCTTTCCAGACACCCATATGGCTTTACTGGTGAATTATATCAAGCATTTATGGAATAAATAATACCAATCTCATACAAATTCTTTCACAAAATAGAAAAGGGAATACTTCCCAATTCATTTTATGAGAGGATGCCGGCCCGTCAGGCTGGGTTTTCTATCAAAGTCACTCTGCACTTTTCAGATGGTTTTTAAACAATTTCCAACCAACATAAATATAGTTTACGGTGCATTTGGTATGTATTAAGAACAGATATTCTTTATTTCTGTTTTTACATCCATTCTTTCTAATCTTCACAGAAACTCTGTAAGAAGGTGATGGTGATTGAAGATTAGTTCACACTGCTTCTCCCCCAGGTTTCCGACTCATTGATAAACAGACACAAAGAGTTAACTTGTGATTAAATGATTCATTTATGATCCAAAGTCCCTGGTAGATGCATGTTGGAGTATGTCACTTAACCTTTAGTAATGGGGCTTCTTACACCCTACCTCATGAATTGAGGACAGGTACCCTTTAGCCAGGTCGGTCACAGTTACACTTAAGGAGGCTGAAATGGAGAGATCCTAGAAATTGCTGGGCCTGCCAAAAGCTGCCTCTTTTGCTCACAGCATGGAGGCTAAAGGAGCAAGAACAATTCCCCACCTTGCACAACAAGGTCAAGATTACAAGTCAGGGTCAAACTTCCTCTTCCAGAGATCAAGTGACCCCTTCTTACTGCATAACCTTCAGGGCAGGAGGGGAAGAAGGAGAGAAATGGAACATAAGTTCCATCTCCATAATAGGTGCTTGAGGAACAGAGGCTGTGTGTTTCTGCACACCAGCCCAGTGCATTTGTATACTCACATGTAGAGTGTCCTGCGTTTTACTGATGATGAATCTCAACTCAGAATGATTAATGATGCATATGAGGTTACATAGATAGTGCGGGACTGAGTCAAGGTGACTCAGTCTGTCTGATTCCAGAGCCCAGAGTTGTTCTTTTGTGCCTTATTGCCTCTAGATTTAGGTTTTCCGTACAAAAAAAGACCATATCGTTTACCTGACTACTCTGGGTTGCCAGGGTCATCCGAATTTGTATGTCATTTACTGACATGTAATAGATGGGAGATGGTTATTATGGGTATAAATTACGTTATTTTTTACATAAGTGGAGAATTTGGGAACTCTTCTTCAGATCAAATGGGTGATGAGTAATTTGATATTTTACATAACTAATCTTAATGTATAATCAGTCATAGTTGTTTTAAAATGAAACCAAATCATGGGTTGTGAAAGCCACTCTGATGGTTGAAAGACATTTTAGTTTTTGCAGAACCTTCCCTTTATCAGCACCATTTTCTCAACAGACAAACAACTCACAGGCTTTGCCAGTTCCCAATCAATTTGTTTTTGAAATACTAGCCTGAGTGGGAAAAAAACCCCACTAATTGGTTTTTCTCTGCTCTCACACTATGGTAACCAACACAGAAGACTTCTGTGATTAAATGTGGGAGGGATTTCTCCCTACCAGCAAACAGGCAATCAATTCTGCAGCAGATACCAGCTGGGTGTCCTTCAGTTCAGTTCTGACACTATCTACCTGGAGATACTGCCAGATCCCACGGAAGGCTGAGTCCCACAATACTGCCCCCCGCCCCATCTCAGACACCTGTCACAAGTCTGGGACTTCTGACTGCCTGGCTTCAAGTTGGGGTTCCCATGACCCCCTCTTTCATTACATTGCTATAGTGGCTCACAGAACTCAGGGAAACACTCATATTTACCGGTTTATTATAAAAGATATTACAAAGGATACAGATGAAGAGATGCATAAGGCAAGGTGTGGAGAAAGGGGCATGGAGCTTCCATGCGCTCCCGGGGCACCACCATCCAGGAACCTCCATGTATTCAGCTATTTGGAAGCTCTCGGAACCCCATCCTCTTGAACTTTTTGTGGAGGTTTCATTGCATAGCCATGATTGACAACCGTGTAGAAAAGTGATTGGACAAAAGGGGTGTGATCTAATGCTGACAGACTGAGTGGGGAAACCCAGCAAGGCCTATGTGTTCAGATTCTTCTTGGCCTTTCTGTGTGGCATACCTTCCTCCCCAGTATGGGGCAGGATCCCTTCTGAAATGAGGGTCTTATGACCTACTTCAAAAAGGCAGGAGAAAATTAGAGTATATTTTTAGTTTCTATGGCCTGCCTTGGGGCAGAAAAGGAGCAGCTGAAAGGAGGGCAAGAGAAGGTCAGAGAGATTCTATTTTTTTTGCTACCTGCTTCTGAGGCCTAAAGTGCCCAACATTACAACAAAAGACTGTAACAAGAGCTGTGGGAGCTTATGAGCCAGGAACTGTAGATGAAAACCAATACATACACATCATAATATCACAGCTAGTCTTTCAGGTTATCAACTATTAGTTTAGTCTCTTTCCTTTTTAAATTGCCCCTATAAAGGCACCTAAATAGTTGGTCCTTAATATGGTTACCATCTCTGATGAAACCTGTTGTCAGTGAAATGTGTAATAAATATTTCACCAATTAATGGATGGTATATACACAGATAACATTCAGACCCTCTGACCTATGCACATCATATAGCTATCATGCAGACCTGGGCCTTCTGACTTGAAAAAAGTTCTCATTGGAATTAGCTTTGATTTTGTGCTACCACTCATGGTTTGCTTAGAGGGCCTTGGCAGGGAAATAATTCACCCATAGGAGCCATTATTAGTGGACTCCCCCACCAAACACACACACACACTCTCTTTCTCTCTCTCTGTCTCTCTTTCTCTCTCTCTCTCTCCTTCTGTCTCTCTCTCTCCCTCACTCTCACACACATATACAATAACATGTTAAAACTTGCCAGTGAGGAATGGGAGGGGATGGGATTTCCCAAGGAGTAGCAGTGTAAGGCTTAGAATGGTACAGCTAGAAATTGGGATGTCAGGTATATTTTCACCAAAGCAAAACTTCTCATCCTGGGCTGTCTTGGGCTTATATTTTTGAAGACTTTGCCAGGGCATGCCATCATCTCCTTTTGTCTCTTCTTGTCATTTTATAATTGAGGAGGAAAAGTAAGGGAGATTCTGAACTAATCATGGCTGTATTGTAACCAAATAACGGTAGGATGAAAGATCTAGGATTTTACTGGATACCTCCTGTCCTTTCTTTCCCAAAGAGAAGTGGGAATCGAAGAACTGGGTAGCAGGGCAGCTTGCACAGTGAGAGCACGATGCTTTGGGGTCAGGAGACCACCTTTCCAGTCTGGGCCTTGGTTTGGCGGACATGTGACTTGAAGCAGCTTACATCATGCCTTTGAACCTTGGGTTCTCTCATATAAGATGGTCCAAATAATACCTTCCAGATAGAGCGTTGTGAGAATTGGATGGGCTAATATATGTGAAAACACTTTGTGAACTATGAAGTATACATTTAAGTACTAGACATAATACACAAATAGTATAGCTTTTCAAAATACAGTTAAGTTTCAGCTCGCATCAGCAGATATGAACGGGAGATGGGTAATTGTGTGTGTGTGATTTTAGAATATATTGTGAAAGTATTTTTGGCTACAGATTTACATTCCTAATTTTTTGCTTTGGCTAATGTCATGAATATGAATTTATCTAATTTATATTCAGAGTTACCATGGGAATATCTACCCAAAGGAAAGCTGAGTGGCAAGGAAAAGCACATCTGGGATTGGAATTTGTTCTTGGATACCTCACAAGTGTCATTCATCTGGTGCCTTGTTCTTGGTGCACTCCTAGCCCTCCCTGATTAAAGCCCTTTCTGGAGCTTTTAAAGAGAAGCAGACTCACAACTGTTGATTTTTTTGAAATATATATTTTTCAAAACATTGATGTATAAATGCGTTTGATTAAAAACAAAAAGGCAGTTATTTAAGAGGCAAACATAATGTGTCCATCTTATGTACAGGCAGCACCCTCATTCGGTGCCTGTCAGCATGGCAAGCCCTTGAAGGATTCTCTCCTGAGCAGGTGGCTTAGGGGCAGCAGGCATTCCTTAACACCTTCTTTACTGACTCAGATAGGGGCAAGCACTGGGAAGGCCCTGTGTCTGGGATGCAGACCAGAGGACACCTGCAGCCCTCTGTCTGGTCATGCTTCGTGGTGGCTGCCTGATCTCGTCTGGGTTCTTCTTCCTGCACCCTGTCTTTTTCTGATGTTGCTCAGCTGACATGCTGGGGCTCTCCTGCCTTTAAAAAAAATCTAGGTAAAGTGTTCCTGGCCTTTGTTTGATCAGGGTGTTGGGAGATTTTGTCTGTTTGTGTTAAATAGTTCTGATTGTCAAATGAGAATGGCTTATGCCTTGAGGAGGCAGAACTGTGTCTTAGGATCCCAGGAACAGGCAGAATTTCCTCCGTTGGAATATCCCACAGGCCTAATGACTTGTAAGAAGTAAATCCTTCAAAGACAACATGGTAAAACAAGTAAATCCGTGTGTGTGTGTGTGTGTGTGTGTGTGTGTGTGTGTGTGTGTGTGTGTGTGTTTACATTTTTAAGGTAACCAATGAATGTGCAGAAGCATTGAAAGGATTGCAGTTTTGCCACCTCTTTCTGAATAATTTCTAGATGTGATATTGATGTGTGTTTCTTTTTGTATAAACTTGGCCATCTTAAATGGAACTATTTGTTTCTCATTTCTCCACATCCATCTCTATTGTCACTCTTTCCCAGGCTTCAGACATTAATCTAGATGAATATAAGGAGACGCTTCAGGTTCCATGAGCAGATATTTAGGACTCTGTTTTCTGATATCAAATTAAGCAGAAAGCTCATGACATAGCACTTTCACACTTTGTTTTAAACTTCTATCTGTGATGATCTTCTGAGGTACCACCAGAACTGGAAGTGATGTGCTGAATCACTGAGTAAAATGGTTTGGGTTAAATCTATAAAAATGATTGGTCTACTCACACACACACGTGCACAACATATACACACACGTACTGTAATTTAATGTAATCATCCAGAGCAGTTTTGTCTGAAAATTTACTAAGTCCTTGCTTACTTGCTCACTACCTGGCTGTATAGAAGATAACTTAAAACCATGATGTCTAAGGTTAAATAGCACCATATAGGAGTAACTTCAGTTGTTACTTGATGTAATGGAAACAGTAGGTAGAGTTCCACTTTTTAGAGACTTTTAATGTGTTTCTTAAGCTCATTGTTGAAAATCACAATGTGATTCCTGAGTTTTGTTTGTTTGTTTTATTCAGAGACACTTTTTCAGAAATCTTGGGTCTATACTGGCCTATGCCTTCTTGGGGACTGCTGTTTCATGCTTCATTATTGGGTAAGTGAACCTTTGTATTATAACCAAATTAACACACATTCCATAGGGATGAGATCCATTTGGGTCCACAGAGTCCAGTATTTTGATATTTTTGATGGCAGTCAGGATCGAGATTTACACTGTTCAGTATGGTAGCTATTAGCCACGTGTGGCTATTTAAATTAAGATCAATTTACATGAAATAAAATTATACCCAAGACCCAGATCTTGGTTTCTGTTATCATTCTTTGATAAAAAGAGCCAGAGCCCCTTGCAGAAATGGCTAATTCTAGGGCTGGGGCAGGAAATATACAAGATGAAAAGGGAGTATCTAATAATGCCAGAAAGTAAGGAAGTGCTCAGAAAACAGACAGGCAAAAGAATGTGGGGGATGTCAAAGGGACACAAGAGCCAACCGAAAGCCCCTGTAATGGTCAAAGCCCCCCCAGCCAATGGCTGAAGAACAACAAAACAAATAACATTGTATTAGATTATCCCCAAGAGCATAAAGTAAATATCCCTGAGTCCGTATGGATATAAATAAGCGATTGGATGAATAAATAAATGGGGGAGAAGAGACAAATCTCCTGTGCGAAGAATTCCAAATACTTCATGTAGATACATCCCCCTCAAGGAGGTAGAGCTCAGTCCCCTCCCACTCCCTCTTTGAGTGTGGGCTGTGCATAGTGACTTCTTTCTGAAGAGTACAGTACAGAAAGCAGGAAAAAAGAGTAGCTTTACAGTGGAGAAGCCTGACAAATACTACTTCAACCAAGTGATCAAGGTCAACATCAGCAGTGGTAAGTCACGTTGATAGTATGTACCTTGATATTTGTGATGAGAAGGATACTCTACCTCTCTGGTCGTTCGCTTAAAACCACATTACCTCAGTATAACCATGAGAAAAAAAATCAGACAAATCCTAGTCAAAGGATATATCTACAAAATATCTGACCAGTACTCCTTAAATCTGCCAAGGTCATCAAAAATGAGCAAAGTCTGGCCGGGCGCGGTGGCTCACGCCTGTAATCCCAGCACTTTGGGAGGCTGAGGCAGGTGGATCACAAGGTCAGGAGATCGAGACCATTCTGGCTAACACGGTGAAACCCTGTCTCTACTAAAAATAAAAAATAAAAAAAATTAGCCGGGCGTGGTGGCGGGCACCTGTAGTCCCAGCTACTCAGGAGGCTGAGGCAGGAGAATGGCGTGAACCTGGGAGGTGGAGCTTGCAGTGAGCTGAGATCACGCCACTGCCCTCCAGCCTGGGTGACAGAGTGAGACTCCATCTCAAAAAAAAAAAAAAAAAAAAAAGAAAAGAAAAAAAGAAAAAAAAAAAGCGAAGTCTAAGAAACTGCTGTCACAGCCATGAGGAGACTAAAGGGATTGGATGACTAAATGTCATGTGGTATCCCGGATAAGATCCTGGAACAGAAAAAGGACATTAGGTTAAAAACTAAGAAAATCTGAATAAAGTTAGGATTTTTATGAATTTTTTAACAATTGGCTGGAGATAATAGCAGGGGTCTTTTGTGCCATCAAAAAAGGAGGGGCTTGGACTTATCCTTTAAGAGATACACATTATTGAAGAATGACACATTACATAACTGACATTAGTGACGACAGGAAGCAAAATGGGGAAAAGGCTACCAGAGAAGTCTATTGTGTAGGTCACAGACTGGTGGAAGGAAATGGAGAGGAAGGTCTTGTTCCAGGAATGTTTAAAGGGTACATGAAAGAAGCCTTTGATAAGCAACAAAGGGCAAATCAAATCTGTAACATACAATTGCTGTGAAATGAAATTGAACTGGTTAAGTGTCTAGAACAGTGTCTGGCACACAATAGGGAAGCATTAAGTTATAGCTGTTTCTTCTCGAAAGGATTCCATTCTGCGAATAGTTCTTTTACTCCTAGCTTAGCTAGTCCACCCTTCTAAGCATTTGAGACACAAAGGTGGGCAGTGGCATCAAGAATCTCATTATTAGAGCATTGGCTGTAGGGTATAATGAGTCAAGTCCATGGTTATTTTTACTTGTCTAACCCCTGCAGCTGCTGCTATCACTGCTGCTGCCACCACACACACACGCACACGCACACACACATACACGTGCATGCACACATACCCTTGTAACACGTACTAGACCTTTTCACACTCCTCACTCCTCCCAATTTGCAAGCTGTCTTGTAGGAAATGTTCTTCCTCCAAGCTGAAAAATTTAACTTGGTAGTCCCTCTTAGCCCATGTCACAGTCTACATAGCATAAGGAGGGCTATTGCTGGCGCACCTGACCCATGCAAAGAGTGAAAGTCCAGATATCTTCATGGGTATATGGATGTTCTAATAGGATATTTAAAGATATTTGCCTCTTTTTCCTTTCTTTGAAATAATTTTTGGCAGAGAAGGCAGTAGTAGGTCAATCCCTTGGATCTTTGTGACCAACCCATTTTTTTCTCTCTGTTTTCATCCAGTCTACTGATTTCTCTGACTTTAAATGTATTATCTTAGAATCTTGTGAGTTTTGTAGCAACTTATTGCTACAAAAACATTATGCCAGGTTCTGTCTCTTCCTTTCCTCTGTATTACCCAGTTGTTTCAAATGCTTTAGCTTTGTTGCTAATTGAAGACTGTACTTCATGGTTGCTTTAGTTGTTAGAGTACAACTTTTAAAAATGAAATGTTCAGATATTTCAGCAAGATGACATTAACTTGCAAACTCTTACTTGATGCCAAAGTCCTATTTGCCAATGTCTCTAATAAGTGTCCAACCATGGCAGCTGCCTGTTAATTTTCATAAATCTCTAAGAACAGCATTCTAGTACTATTCTGCTTGCATGTTTGCTAAGTTACTTATTTGTTTCTCCTGACATAGTTTACCTTACCTTCTTACAGAAATCTCATGTATGGTGTGGTGAAGCTCATGAAGATTATGGGACAGCTCTCTGATAAATTTTACTACACAGATTGTCTCTTTTTTGGAGCAATCATCTCTGCCACTGACCCAGGTATTTGGCTTTGCATATTTGGCTTTATTATTATGGTATTCCATTATTTAAATCTTAAAAAGTTCAGAGCAATCATTAACTTTTGTTGTAGTAGGGAGAATGTAGTATTTATTTGCATGGCATGGTGATGGAAGAAGTGACCAATAGGTGGGTCTAACAGACTTAGATGGCTTTTCTTTTTCTTTTTCCTTTTTTGAGACAGGATCTCACTCTGTTGCCCAAGCTAGAGTGCAGTGGTGCAATCACAGCTCACTGAAGCCTTGACCTCCTGGGCTCAAGCAGTCCTCCTGCCTCAGCCTCCCAAGCAGTGGGACTATAGTTAGATGGCTTTTCTAAGAAGGGCATGCAATTTCCTTTTATATTATTAATTTTTCATTGTTGTAAAAATGCCTGACATAAAATTTACTACCTTAACAATTTCTTTTGTTTGTTTGTTTGTTTTTTGAGATGGAGTCTTGCTCTGTTGCCCAGGCTGGAGTGCAGTGATGCGATCTTAGCTCACTGCAGCCTCCACCTCCCAAGTTCATGCCATTCTCCTGCCTCAGCCTCTCAAGTAGCTGGGACTACAGGTGCTCGCCACCACGCCTGGCTAATTTTTTTGTATTTTTAGTAGAGGCGGGTTTCACTGTGTTAGCCAGGATGGTCTCAATCTCCTGACTTCGTGATCTGCCCGCCTCAGCCTCCCAAAGTGCTGGGATTACAGGTGTGAGCCACCGTGCCCAGCCTATCTTAACAGTTTCTAAGTGTATAGTTCAGTAGCGTTAAGTATACCCACGTCATTGTGAAACCAATCCCAAGAACTTTTTCATCTTGCAAAACCGAAATGCTGTACCCTTTAAACAACAACTCCCCAGTCTCCCTTCCCTGCAGCCCCTGGCAGCTATCTTTGACTTTCTGTCTCTATGAACTTGACTGCTGTAGAAATTTCATACAAGTGAAATCATATAGTATTTTGTGACTGGCTTATTTCACTTAGCATAATGTCCTCAAAGTTCATCCATGTTATAGCATTTGTCATAATTTCCTAACCTTTAAGGCTGAATAATATTCCATTCCATTGTATCTGTATAGCATGTTTTTTGTTGTTGTTGTTGTTTTGGTTTGGTTTGGTTTTTGAGATGGAGTTTTGCTCTTGTTGACCAGGCTGGAGTGCAATGGCACGATCTTGGTTCACTGTAATCTCCGCCTCCCAGGTTCAAGCGATTCTCCTGCCTCAGCCTCCCGAGTAGCTGGGATTACAGGCATGCACCACCACGCCCAGCTAATTTTTTTGTATTTTTAGTAGAGACAGGGTTTCTCCATGTTGGCCAGGCTGGTCTCAAACTCCCAACCTCAAGTGATCCGCCCGCCTCGGCCTCCCAAAGTGCTGGGATTACAGGCATGAACCACCACACCCGGCTATATAACATGTTTTGCCTTTCATCTTAGAATGACTAATTTGGTCATAAGTTTTACACTTTGATTTTCTTCTTTCTCAGTGTTGCCCTTTTGCCTTCTTTTATGTAACATATCATTTGGTTTAAATAATACCTTTTCTTAGTAGAAACACACATGATTATCTGTAGTGAATGTAATTTAATTTGTAAACTCCTTTTGTGCAGCGTTCCTAGAGGATTGTGCACTGTGACATGGTTTTTATTCATCAATCCCTTGCCCTGTATTTTTCAAGTGTTGGTTGAACCAATTCTTACAAGTGAATTATTACACCCTCCCTTGCAGCTCAAAAACAAACAAAAAAGTTATCCTTTCCAAGTTGGAACCTATAATTTGATCAGTTTGCATAAAGTAGTTACAGCTATTCTCTTCCTTAGTGTCAGCTATTGAGAGTACACCTTAGGGAAAGAAGTTCTGGAGAATGAGCTGCTCCTGTCCTCACGGTAGAGATGGAAAGGTCTGTTCAATGTCTTCAATGCCCTCTAATATTCTGAACAGTATTAACCTTAAAGATACTAAGATACTTGACCATGCCTCTTGGGGGTCCTCTCCATCAGTGCTATCTTATAGATCTTTCTGTGAAGATAGAGATGTTCTATAATCTGCAAGTCCATTGTGGTAACCAGTAGCCACATGTGGCTTTTGAGCACTTGAAATGTAGGGTAATGCAGTTGGGGGACTGATTTTAACTTTTATTTAATGTTAAGTAATTTAAATGTATATAGCCACATGTGGCTAATGGTTACCACATCAGACAGCATAGCTCTAGACAGTTGTGTGGTTCTGAAGAATCTCAGTGTTCAAAAAAAAAAGAAAAAAAAAATTGACCTCTCTTACCCTCATATTTTATTACAAACATCCTGAGTAAATTAGTATTGAAGACTTGGCTGTCGAGGCACTCTGGTTTGTGAAAAGGTGGGATTTGGAGTCACAGGCCTTGGGTTGAGTTCTAGCCCTACCAATCACTGATCGGGTAGCCTGGACACATATTATCCCCTGACATCAGTTTCCTCATCTATAAAGTAGAAATGATGGCACCTATTTCCTAAGGCTATTGTGAAGATGAAATGAAACAACACGTGTAAGGCATAGAGTGTACCATCTCTAAATTATGCTGGTCTGTGTCCACATCTGACTCAGACAGAGATTTCTCAGTTTTCCATATGTTTAAAAAAAAAATAAATAACAGATCATCTCTTAACCCAAGCATGTTTCCAAAGAGAACTCTGAAAATCAGTTTTAGTATTTTAATCCTGTGCTGTCTGTGACTGTCTCCAGATGTGTGTCTGTGGAGAAATAGATCTTCATAAGTCTGAGAAAGGTGTTTAGTCTGTCTGAAAATGTGTTTCTAAGTATACTCATCTATAATTTTATTACTAACGTCTTACTAGTACCACTAACAAGTAAAGGGAAGTTAGTTTAACATAAAGATTATTGGTATTGTTTCCTGAGCTATCAGTGTTACTTCATTTAATTGGATAGAGAGGCTTACTTTTCTAGATTATCTTTGTAATTGTTTACTTCCCTTTAATGTGTCTATGCTATGGTAGAAAATAATGGAAGGGATTACCATGCTACTCCATTTTCACTTGGCCTATGAAGATTGGCACCGTAAGGGTTTTATAGAAATGGAAGTTGTAGGCCGGGCGCGGTGGCTCAAGCCTGTAATCCCAGCACTTTGGGAGGCCGAGACGGGCGGATCACGAGGTCGGGAGATCAAGACCATCCTGGCTAACACGGTGAAACCCCGTCTCTACTAAAAAAAATACAAAAAAAGTAGCCGGGCGAGGTGGCTGGCGCCTGTAGTCCCAGCTACTCGGGAGGCCTGAGGCAGGAGAATGGCCTGAACCCGGGAGGCGGAGCTTGCAGTGAGCTGAGATCCGGCCACTGCACTCCAGCCTGGGCGACAGAGCAAGACTCCGTCTCAAAAAAAAAAAAAAAAAAAAAAAAAAGAAATGGAAGTTGTAGAAAATTGAAAGTTTAAACTTATTAAACATCAGGACATTAACTTTAACTGCTTTTTAAATAGAAATCTTCCTGAAATGTAGAATGTTTTTGCAAACTAGAAGTGTTTTACCAGCCTCCTAGAAATCTGTTGTTTGAAAACTTGGGTCATAAAGGAGATAAAAACTTAAGTGAAGAGTTAAGCATCACAAGACCAGATTGACTTCTAGCGTCTGCTGCATCAAACAAAAATTCTGATATTGGCAGCCTGGGCAACATAGAACTTCATCCCCACAAAAAAATTTTAAAAATTAGCTGGCCGTGGTGGTGATTGCCTATAGTTCCAGCTGCTCGGGGTCTGAGGCAAGACGATTGCTTAAGCCCAGGAGTTTGAGGCTGCAGTGAGCTGTGATCGCACTACTGCACTCCAGCCTGGGTGACAGAGCAAGACCCTGTCTTTAAAAAATGAAACAAAAAACTTTATAGTATTAGGATACAGAATCATATTGACTGATATGAAGGAATAAGAATCCTTGTCCCTGATTACTGTACTTGGCTTGAGACATGAGTCTTTGGTCTTCTGGTCAAAGTTGACATAGTATGTGTGGGATAGTGTAGGCTGCACTGTGACAGGGAGCCTTCTCCACTCTGTGGTCATGTGTCATGGCTGCCATGTGCCATCTTTGTGGGCTTTTGTTTTAGACAGATCCACAATTAAAGGAAAAAAACACATTTCCACCCCATGGTGCCTTCCTAGGAAGCCACCAGAGAACACATGCCACTGCACTCCAGCCTAGGCAACAGAGACCCTGTCTAAAAAGAAAAAGAAAAGAAAAATAGAAACCTGTGAGTCAGGCTGATTGACTCAAGGAGTGCAAAGGTGATGAGTTAAAATTGGGGAAATGACATCATGATGGTTCACAGGAAGGGCATGCAATTTCCTTTTTTATTATTAATTTTTTATTGTGGTAAAAATGCCTGACATAAAATTTACTATCTTAACAATTTCTTTTTTTTTTTTTTTTTTGAGACGGAGTCTTGCTCTGTCGCCCAGGCTAGAGGGCATCCTCTGGGACTTGGTTCAAATGTGCCACCTGCCTAGTCACTCTAGACTCCATTATCTGCTCCCTCAGCTCTTTGAGTTAGGTCTGTTTTGTACATGTCAGTGCTTGCCACTTTGTACTGAGTGCTCACAAGGGCTAAGTGCCCTTGAGTACACGGATGAAGTGTCCATGAAAAGTTAGCTGAACGAACACATTTAGGTCCTTGAGTTTTTCCTTCTTCATATATCTGCCATTCTTTTGTTTTTCCCACTGCCTCTACCCAGTGATCTTCAGTTAGTTAATTGTGATTTCTCAGTCTGTGTCCAGTTGGAAACAGCTATGACCCTGCTCACCCTGATTTCAAGGGTCCTGCTATAGGGATGAGGGCAGTTTGTTTCATGTCTCCCACCAGAAACCACTTAGCCAGTCTTGTCATCCCCATCCCATCGTCTTCCAGTTGTCAGCACCCACATCCCTCCTTGTGATCAGGCACAGACTTGCTCAGGAGGGGCACAGAAGGGATCCTGACCTGTTTTGTGAGATAATGAGCAGGGAGAATGAGAAGTTGAAACTTAGATCAATGCTATGTAAGCATTTATTGTTATTATTATTAATTATGCTTTTAGGCGAGGTGTGCTATGCATCTGTGGTCCCATCTACTTGGGAGGCTGAGGTAGCGGGGATTGCTTAAGCCCAGGAGTTCCAGGCTACAGTGAACTATAATCACACCACCGTACTCCAGCCTGGGCAACAGAGCAAGACCCTGTCTCAAAAAAATATAAAAATAAAAATAAAATTTTTAAAAAATTGGCAAAACCAAACGGTAGCGTCAGGGAATGTGTATTTGTGTGATTAAATTATAGGGAAAGGCAAGAAAATGATGACTATAAAATTTAGTTTAGTGGTTCCCTTTAGTGAAGGAAGAGGCTTCAGACTGGGATGGGACATATGGGGGACTGACAAAGTTCCATTTCTTGAACAGGGAGGTGGTTACAAGACTGGTTGGCTTATAATAACTCACTAAACTGAACATTTGTTTGGCTTGGTTTTCTGATTGTATCAATTAGTAATGCTTTTGGCTGCAAAGAACAGAAAAACCTGGCTAATTCCTGCTTAAACAAATAGATATTTATCTTGGGTACCAGTACTGGGGCTGATGTCCCAGCTTCCACTACAATCAAAAAGTACTACACTGTCTTTCTGCTGCACTGTTCTGGGGTTTCAGTCACACATCAGTTGCCCCATGGAGGCAAGATGACTACGTTGGTATCTGGCGTCTCCGCCTTCTTCCTGACAGGAAGAGGTGATGCTTTCTGCAAGAGAAGCTGGGAAAGTGGGGTTTTAGTTTTTGCAGTCCTATGGTAGAAACCATTGAGAGAGGGTAGTTGGGTCTGAGTGTTGAGAGAGAACACAGCTCTTGTGCATATTATCTAGAGCGGTGGTTCTCAATCAGGGACAATATTGCCCACACCCCCACCCCTGTCATTATTATTTTAAGCAACACACACCATATTTCAAAGGCTTGGCAAAAAGATAGAATTTATAAAATCTAATTAATCTTTTTTTTTTTTTGAGATGGAGTTTCACTCTTGTTGCCCAGGCTGGAGTGCAATGGCGCAGTCTCTGCTCACCACAACCTCTGCCTCCTGGGCTCAAGCGATTCTCCCACCTCAGCCTCTGGAGTAGCTGGGATTACAGGCACCCACCACCACACCCGGCTAATTTTGTATTTTTAGTAGAGATGAGGTTTCTCCATGTTGGTCAGGCTGGTCTCAAATCGCAACCTCAGTGATCTGCCTGCCTTGGCTTCCCAAAGTGCTGGGATTACAAGCATGAGCCACCGCACCCGGCCTTTTTTCTTTTTTCTTTTTTCTTTTTTTTTGAGATGGAGTTTCACTCCTGTTGCCCAGGCTGAAGTGCAATGGCACGATCTTGCCTCACTGCAACCTCCGCCTCCTGGGTTCAAGTGATTCTTTTGCCTCAGCCTCCCAAGTAGCTGGGATTACAGGTGTGTACCACCATGCCTGACTAATTTTGTATTTTTAGTAGAGACGGGATTTCACTGTGTTGGTCAGGCTGGTCTCAAACTTGTGATTTCGGCCTCCCAAAGTGCTGGAATTACAAGCGCGAGCCACCGTGCCGGCCAAAATCTCATTAATCATTTGTATAATAACTTTGTTATTTTATCCTTGGCTCTATTGAGCCAGAGAAATCAAAGAGATTTCAACACACTGGTGAAGTCAAATCACATTGATTGTCATTAGTTTTTGAAGTTCTGTAACAGATACTTTCAAAGTGTGATGGGATCACGGTGGAAAGCATAGTGTTTTGGTGCAGTGTCATTAGACTCAAGCATCATATCAAAGCTCCTTCAGATAAGGAAGATTGCCGTTTTCATTTCTGCCACAGATAGACAAGTCTGTCTTTGACCCCCTTGCTATCTCTTGAATCACCCAGTCCCACTCAAGATAGAAATTGCCTCTATAAATCTGTAATCAGTGGTTTAAGGTCAGAAACCAAAACTAATTTCTGTGCTTTTGGCTCACTTTTCAGTGACTGTGCTGGCAATATTTAATGAATTGCATGCAGACGTGGATCTTTACGCACTTCTTTTTGGAGAGAGTGTCCTAAATGATGCCGTTGCCATTGTACTGTCCTCGTAAGTAGCAGTGTTTCTGCTGGAGAAGAGACACCTTGGTTTCCTGTATGCTTTGGGCTAAATTCAGAGGCTCATCTTAAATGTATTACATATTGAATTGGGTGTTTTTCTAAATGAGATTTATCAGCTTCATGGATAAAATTATGTTGCTTAGTGTGCCCAGCAGCGATCAGAATGCTGACGCCAGTGTAACATGGTGGCTGCAGATTAAATTAAATGAATTTGCCCTGGGCAATGCTGGCCACAAATTAAATTAAATGAATTTACCCTGGCCAATGCTTGACAAAATGTAGATACCTATGTTTGTCGATATTTTCAGGTACCACGGTGTAAAACCAGTGCAGTCTTTTAAAACTGTCTCTTGTTTTTAAACTTCAGGTCTATTGTTGCCTACCAGCCAGCAGGACTGAACACTCACGCCTTTGATGCTGCTGCCTTTTTTAAGTCAGTTGGCATTTTTCTAGGTATATTTAGTGGCTCTTTTACCATGGGAGCTGTGACTGGTGTTGTGACTGCTCTAATATCCTTTTTGTAGTTTCAGTTACGGCCTGGGTATGTGTGTGTGGCATTACACTTTCGAAAAGAAAGTTCTCGGCTGTTCTTTCAAATTGGAATCTTACATTGATTGTTCCACTGGGGTGTGATGGCTCCTGAAATATATCACTTTGGTGAAGCATGACGGTTAGGTCCCTAGCTGAGAGTCTGAAAAAATGTTTAGGAATACAAGCCTAGACTTCGCTCTGTCTTCACCTTTGCTTTTTCTCTCCCTTTCTTGTGATCCAGTTGGAGCATCAGTTTTAGAGGGGTGAAAAGAGCTGAGGAGCCAGGAGGTGGCTGGGAATTAGGGACTACCGGCTGGGAAGTACTTTAGCCCCAGCTAGCTGCTGCCACCTGCTGTTCTGGGCCGCATGGTGCTATGTGGTGATAGCTAGTTAGTGGCCTTCCATAAGCAAAGGATGGCTGGGGTTTAGTTTAAACAAACTAAAAAAACAAAATGTGGAAAGAGCAGGCATCCCTTCTACAGATGTGCTGAGTCCTGCATTATATCCTCTTTGGTGGGCAGTGCTATGTAATTTAAACCACATCATTCCAACATGTAATCAATATGGAAAAAAACCCAAAATTATGATAAAATAATTAATGAGATGTTATACATTCAATCTTTGTGGCAAGCCTTTGAAATATGGTATGTGTGCTGGGCGTGGTGGCTCACACCTGTAATCCCAGCACTTTGGGAGGCCAAGGCAGGCAGATCTCCTGAGGTCAGGAGTTCGAGACCAGCTTGGCCAACATGGTGAAACCCTGTTTCTACTAAAAATACAAAAATTAGCCGGGTGTGGTGGTGCACGCCTGTAATCCCTGCTAATCAGGAGGTTGAGGCAGGTGAATCACTTGAACCCGGGAGGTGGAGATTTCAGTGAGCCCAGACCGTGCCATTGCACTCCAGCTTGGGCAACAGAGCGAAATTCCATCTCAAAAAAAAGAAAGAAAGAAAGAAAGAAATATGGTGTGTGTGTTGCTCTTACAACACATCTCAATTTGGAGTAGCCACATGGTAAGTGTTCAGCTACCACATTGGATAGCGCAGATTTAAATTGCTTTCTTCACAAGGGCCCTTTTGATGTCCTGGAGATATATATTGCTCAGTGAAATCCCTCATGAGACGCTTCTATGCTTGGCCTGTGTCGAATGGCACTGTTACAAGAAGGATCTCTGGTCCCAAAAGGTGACACCAGCACCTGGTAGCTGCCTCAAGAATTGTGCATTTCTTTCTTTCCTGTGCCTTCCTTAGGCACCTGTTGTGGACTCAGGTGGCCTCAGTGATGCCCAGGGCTCAGGGTCTCACAGGCCTTGTCTTCACAGCCTTGCTGGAACCAACCCAACAAGCCAGCCTGATGTCATGACCATGCCTCTCAGAACCATGGCCATTCAAGGAGCACAGAAAACCAGTTGCCAGTTTCTCTGGAAAGCTGAATTTATTTAAAAAACAAAACAAAACAAAACAAAACAAAACAAAACAAAAAACGCCTTATTGACATATAATTTATATACCATTTAAATGTAATGGCTTTTGGTATATTACATGATAATTTTTTTTTGACAGAGTCTCGCTCAGTTGCCCAGGCTGGAGTGCAGTGGCACGATCTCGGGTCACTGCAACCTCTGCCTCCTGGGTTCAGTCGATTCTCAGCCTTCTGAATAGCTGGGATTACAGATGTATGTCACCACACCCGGCTAATTTTTGTATTTTTAGTAGAGATGGGGTTTCAGTATGTTGGCCAGACTAGTTTCGAACTCCTGACCTCAGGTGATCCACCCGCCTTGGCCTCCCAAAGTGCTAGGATTACAGGCATGAGCCACCGCACCCTATGTGATTAATTTCTTAAAATTGTGGTAAAATATAGCTAACGAGATTTGTCATTTAACCATTTTTAAGTGCACAATTCCGTGGGGATTAAGTACATTCACAATGTCAGGTAGCCATCCCCTTGTCTACTTTCAGAATTCTTTCATCATCCCAAATAGAAGTTCTGTACCCACTGAACAGTATCTCACTATTTCTTCCTCCAGCCCCTACAAAACTTGTGTTGCACTGGAAAGCTTAATTTGTATTACTTAAGCTTTCCTTAGAGCCTCCGAAAAAAAAGGTTGAAGGGAAAGGCTAGCCCTTTGGGGAGGGGTCCTGGGCTAGTGGAGTATGGTTCTTGGTGGCCCTGATACATGTACCTGGAGACAGGGTCCTTGACAGAATGCCAACGTGACTAAGTTTACCAAACTGCACTGCTTCCCCCTGCTGGAGACAGCGCTCTTCTTCCTCATGTCCTGGAGCACGTTTCTTTTGGCAGAAGCCTGCGGATTTACAGGTAGGTTTTCTCTACTCTTGCACCACCCTTCCCCTCACTGTAGTGGGGCCTGTGGGAACTTGAAGGAAGTAAAGAATTCTTAGATAGCAACTGCATGGAGTTTAACTGTTCAGCAAGTGTCCGTATGAAGGATTGCTGAGCAAGGCTAGTGTTCTGTCTTAAATGGATTGTCTACTTTCCAAAAAGCTAGATTTTATTTTATTTTATTTTTTTAGAGATTGGGTCTTGCTCTGTCACCCAGGCTGGAGTGCAGCAGCACAATCATAGCTCACTGTAACCTCGAACTGCTAGGCTCAAGGGATCTTCCCCCTTCACCCTCCCAAGTAGCTGAGACTACAGGCATGTACCACACCCAGCTAATTTTTTTATTTTTTGTAGAGATGGAGTTTGCTATGTTGTCCAGGCTGGTCTCAAACTCCTGGCCTTAAGTGATCCTCCTACCTCAGCCTCCCAAAGCACTGGGATTACAGGCATGAGCCACCATGCCCAGCCTGAAAAAGTAGATTTTAATGATAAAGTTTATCATTCCAAAGTCAATTACATTTTTGAGTACTCATTCTAACTATAAGTAGATGTTAAGGTGCAAAGAATCTCTTAAAATTTTATTTGTATATTTCCCTTGATTGCTATGTTATTTTACAAACAGTAGCAATAACAAGCAAAATATGTGTCCTTTAAAGGGTGATTTTGTATCTGCTCAGGTGGATGTGAACACGGTTTTTCATTGTTGTGTCTCTGGGCTATTTAATCGTTGTTTTTCAATATCAAATTTTTATGGTGTCAGTTTCATATAGTATTAGTGTGGTGAAACGTGGTTTTACTTCCTCAAATTCTTTCAGTTTTAAAAAAATCATTGAATTTTTCCATTAGAAAATTCAAGTACAGTTACTGTACATAATCCAGGTACTTAGGATGTACTTTTATCACCCTTTCAAAATACTGTAGAAAATCTTTATATGCAGCATTACAAAATGCCCCACTTCCTTAAAATTTAACAGTTATCTGTAAATGTGTAGGCAAAGTCCCAGGTGCGTCAGTTGTCTCGCACAACAAAATGATTACCATTAACCAGAAATATAGAAGATCGGGGCTTGGATAAATGGAATAGTACTCTTGATCTGTTTTGTCTGAAGTCCTAGACTGTGAAAAAAATATAGGCCAGGCATGGTGGCACATGCCTATTTAAACTCAACACTTTGGGGCCAAGGCAGGTGGATCTCTTGAGCTCAGGAGTTCAAGACCAGCCTGGGCAAGATGGAGAAACCCCATCTCTACAAAAAAATACAAAAATTAGCTGGGTGTGGTGGTGTGCACCTGTAGTCCCAGCTACTCAGGAGGCTGAGGTGGGAGGATCACTTGAGCCTTGGAGATAGAGGCTGCAGTGAGTCAAGATCATGCCACTGCCCTCCACTGAGGGATATATAATATATAATCCACTTTGTCTCAAAAAATATATATGTATATAAAGCATTAGTTTGAAATTCAGTTCATTCATTCTAAAAACAGTGAGGAATATGACAAAAATTTGGATGGGCCCTCACAGTCTCTTTGAGGGAATGAATGCTATATGCCAACTACAGATGGTAGTTGGAGGAGTTTAGAGGAGGCAATAGATACCATTAAAACTGGAACAAGGAGGGGATGTTGAGGTACTTGGCTTTGAAGGAAGGCAGGGTTGGGAGACAGAAAGGTTGATATGAGGTGAGGGGTTGTAGGAGTGTTCAGTAGTAATAGGAAACTTTGTTTTTCTTTTCTTTTCTTTATTTCTTTTTTTTTTTTAAGAAAAGGTTTCCCTCTGTTGCCCAGGCTGGAGTACAGAGGTGTGATCAGGGCTCACTGCAGCCTCAACCTCCCAGGCTCAAGTGATCCTCTCACCTCAGCCTCCGAGTAGCTGGGACCACAGGCCCACATCACCACATCCAGCTAATTTTTTGTATTTTTGGTAGAAATGGGGTTTTACCATGTTTCCCAGGCTGGTCTCAAACTCCTGGGCTCAAGCCATCTGCCTGCCTTGGCCTCCTGCAGTGCTGGGATTACAGGTGCGAGCCACTGTGCCCGACCCAGCAATAGGAAAGTTTCAAAAATATCCAGGAAGTTGGATATGCTAGGCTTGCCTACCTTAACCTTTTGTTCCAGCAGGGTTTTTTTTTCCCCTGCCTCTTTATTTTCCATTGATTTTTTGGGGGGATGTTTTAACAGGTGTTGTAGCTGTCCTTTTCTGTGGAATCACACAAGCTCATTACACCTACAACAATCTGTCGGTGGAATCAAGAAGTCGAACCAAGCAGGTGAGAGAGAGGCTTGGTACTCACGAGTTGCTTGTTAACACAGGGAAGGGGAAACTGCAGGGTTTACAGCTTCCTTTTCCCTTCTCTGTGCAGCTCTTTGAGGTGTTACATTTCCTGGCAGAGAACTTCATCTTCTCCTACATGGGCCTGGCACTGTTTACCTTCCAGAAGCACGTTTTCAGCCCCATTTTCATCATTGGCGCTTTTGTATCCTTTTCTTGTTCCACCATTTTCTACATGCAGAGACAACCACTGTTGGAGAAGCTATAGTAATAATAGTCATAATAATACTATAAAATAACAATAATATAATCATATAAAATCTCATAAAATAACAATTACGGTTTCTGTTTTGGGTAGGTGACTAAGTCCATGCTAGTTCACAGGGTTTTTATGATGAATAAAAGAAAGCTTAAGTGGCATTTCATAACGCTAAATGTATTTGACTTAAAGGACTGCATGTATTCCAAGGTCATCCTTTCAGCCTTTTCTGTGTAAGATGGCCTTTCTGTTAAACTGGTGCTCAGCAGGTGATAGTTTGTTTTGTAAAGTGCCCTTCTGGGTGTATCTAAAAGTCAGCAACCATGTCAGTCTCCAGTGTTATTTTTGACATTTCATTGCTGTATGAATTCCAATCCAGGAGGTGCCCTGATTTGGATGACCCAAAGGTTCTCCTCTTGCTCGTAACTACATCCACAGTATGCGAAGCCCTTCCTCACACTGCCCAGGGTTGTTTGCAGGCAGTGACCCTACTGTTTCCTCAAGCTTCCCTGCTGCTGCAGATCATGGTAGAAGACTCTTTCTCCCCACCCCCACCAAAAAAAGGAGAAGGGAAAAAAAATGAGGGGAAGAAAAGATAAAATAGAAAAATACTTGATTCCTTGGTCTGGGCCCATTGTAAATGCAGTTTCTGAAAAAGAGACATAATTTGCGGGATTGGCTTCTCTCATGTCCCTAGCAGTGGATGGATAGCTGAGGGTTTTGCTCACTTGGCCTCAGATACTATGTTTTTATTAAAGCGAACTTTTCTGGGGCTTGATTTCAAGATACTGAGCACAGTCCCCTATTGCTGGACATGCACATTTGCCTCTTCTGAGGCCTCATGATTATCCTTAGATTTTGGAATGCTGGCCAAAAAGGAGTGTTTTTCTCTCTGGGCTTAATTTATTGTGCAGGAATGACTGACACTCACCAAGCTGCTGGACAGTGACAGTGGCCTAATGCAATACTGGTTAGTGTGAGAGCCTCCTACGCTTAAACCGGTGGCTCATTTCTTGGATTTCCATGCTTACCAGACTAATAGCTAAAAATCTGCAAGACCAGTGTTTTTATTCTTTTTTGAGAAAGACCTTGCATGTTGTTTTGATTTGTATTCCTAGCATGACATCCTGTGAGAGATAGTGAGAGTACAGCCCTGTTTACAGATGAGGGCCTGGCAGAGGCCAAGCCAGGTCCTCTGCAGATCCTAACTGCTGCTTACCACTTAAGGACTTTTGCTTCTCTTCTGGGATAGAATGTACTTTGTAAGCATTACCTTGTTCTTTCTGCTTAAAACAAAACAGAAAGAAAACGGAAGAAAAACAGGCAGTGCTTTACCCTGCAGGAGACAGAGAAGATAGTTCCGCCCTGGCTTCTGTCTGAAACAGCTGCAGCTCCTGCAGCTGGTGTTTTGCCAAAACGGAAGCTCCCTGTTCCTCTGGCTCCCACAGGCGTTCCCTTCTCTGACCAGGGGAGTGTGCAGCTCTCTCAGCTGGGCACTGTTCTAAACTCAGAAGTGACAAAGGACCAGTTTCCCTGAATTCTTTGGTTTCCACAACAGAGTTCCTTTTTCCACCCTCCTTTTCCATTTCTTACATCTCCAAAAGACATTTTAGCTACTTAGGTAGAGAAATATCTCCCTGGGTTCATTCCTGTGAGTGATCTGAATGTCTTTTAGTGTTATGAATATTGTAAATTTCCCCACCTCTTATTTGCAGGCTCTTTCTGGCCATTAAAATCTCTGATGTTTACTTGCAAATGAAGCCTGCGAGCACTTATCCAGCAAACATTTTCTTTATAGTTTGACTGCAGGATTAGCAATTTTTTTCTTCTAGTGCCTTTTCTTTTAGTAGAGCCCAACAGACACTGTTTGCTTCTCTCAACTGCCCTCTCCTGCCGTGGTACTTTAGCTTATTTCTGGACTCCTTTTTAGATAGATTTAGATAGATAGATAGATAGATAGATAGATAGATAGATAGATAGATAGATACCAGTTGAATTAAATCAAGAAGTTACAACAGTGTGTTTAACAAGCTAGAAATGATCTCTATGAATCAGGAGATGGGGAAGCTTAGCCAAACTACTCCCATTTTGTTGCTGAGAAACTTGTCTAGAGAGAAACTAGACAGCCGGGCTTCTTTGGGCAGCTCTCTGGACTATAATGAGGCATCACAGCATTCCTAAAATTCTCTGCTTAGCCGGAGGCTGTGTGGAATGCCATTCTGGAAACTGTTGGGCCCTTAACCTCCACCTGTGGTCAGGTTGCCATCTTCCTGGGCAGAGCTGCGCACATCTACCCGCTTTCCTTCTTCCTCAACTTGGGCAGAAGGCATAAGATTGGCTGGAATTTTCAACACATGATGATGTTTTCAGGTAAAAAGGCGTAAGTGTAAAGAAAATGAGTTTTATTCAGCAGGTAACAAGAATATGATTAAAATATAATTGATAAGGTTCATAAAAAGGCAAGCATTCAAGTTTCTGGTCCGTTTGTATCCCCTGCAGTGAGGAATAGACAGATGTACATGTTCAATTGAGTTAGTGTTGATTTTGCAAACCATACTACCAAATGTGAATGTTCTCCCCTAAATTATTTGCATTTCTATTTCATCACTACCACTCAAGGGACCTGGAGATATGGTGTTTAAAGTGCTTGATTGTTTTCTAGAAGATCTTCATAACCCTTAAGCTTCCTGAAGGGCGCCAGGTCTAGAATTAGAAGGAAAAGAGCTCCTGATGAGAAAGAGCACTGGCCAAGTCACTCAGCACCTCCCAGCTGCAGTATCCTCTCTTGTAAAATAATGAAATTGAACTAATTAGCTGAGGTCCCCCAGCTCTAACTTTCTGTGGAGCAAAAGAAATAAAATACACTCATGTAAGCAAGGGGAACCCAACACTGGAATTTAATAGCTGTGATCATCCTGCTGAATTGACACTGTCTCCTGCATGCCCCCCCTTTTCCCTGTAAAGCTCAGAAGTCTGGAGAAGCCACTGAGGGGACAAAGGACAATAAAGAAAGCTGTGGAAGTAGAGTAAGGAGAGAGTAGCTGGCATGAGTGGATGATGCAGTGAGGGTGGTAAGCGTCAGCTTTATATAAATGAGACCCAAGTTAGAGCATTTCTGCAGAACAGAGGGAGGAGAAGTTAGTTGCAAAAGGCTACTGTGACCCTTAAAGACACCTCTGTCCTTTAAGACAGAGAGTGAGTTGCAGCCACCATTACTGCCATGCAGTAGTTATTGGGGGGCTCACAGAGTCATAGTGAAATCAAACCAACAGGCACTGCTCAGTAAAGCAGTCATTTTGTCTCACACTAGCTTGCCTCTGAACTTAGATACAGGTACAGTCCTCTAAGATGATTTCCTTTTACTCTGACAAACATTTATTGAGCATCCTCTTTTCATAAGCCACAGCTCTAGGTTGTGGAGGATGCAAAGACGAGCCTCCTTCACGGAGCTCACAGTCTGCTGGGGGGAGGCAGGTACACAAAGACTTCATTTTCTTCCAAGAGAGGTTGGTGAATTGCACAAAAGAGGTCTGAAAGAAATGTGGACAAGAAGAGAATGGCTCAGGGCCATCTTCACTAAGGGAGTGGCCTTTTAGCTAGGCTTGGAAGAATGGAATTTCAGGAGGCAGCAGTTTGGGAAGGCAGAAAAGCATTGGCATGCCTGGCTTGTTTAGGGAAGGGCAGCAGTCTGGTTTAAATGTCAGATACATGGAGTAATTCAGAAAGAGGGTGAGGTTGACCACCATTGCCGCCTACAAGCTGTGGCTGATCTGGCACGGGGAGAGTGCCTGGAACCTGGAGAACTGCTTCAGTGGCTGGAAGGACACTCCCTGAGCCCGGGGGCCACAAGGAGGCGAAGTGAGGTAGACAGGCACTGCAAGATGCTGGCTATAAGTTCAACATCTGCTTCACCTCAGTGCAGAAGAGAGCAATCTGGGCCCTCTGGACAGTGCCAGATGCCACTGACCTGATGTGGCTGCCCATAGTGAGGACTTGGCATCTTAATGAGTGGCACTCTGGGCTTCTGACCGACCTCCATAAAGCAGAAACTGCTGCCAAGCATGGTAAAGATCTGGAGGCGCTCCTGTGATGTCCCACCACCTCTCATAGAGCCCAATCATCCCTTCTACAGCAGCATCAGTAAAGATCGCAGGTATGTAGACCTCACTGAAGATCAGCTACCCTCTTGTGAGGGTCTGAAGGTCACATCTGCCAGACCTCTGCCCCTTTGGAATGAAGAAATAGTTCCCCAGATTGAGGAGGGGAAATGGGTACTGATTACAGCCCACGGCAACAGCCTCCCCGGCATTGTCAAGCATCTTCAGGGTCTCTCTGCGGAGAGGAACCTGCCGACTGCTATTCCCGTTGTCTATGAATTGGACAAGAACTTGAAGCACATCAGGCGCATGTAGTTCCTGGGGGATGAAGAGACCGTGTGTAAAGCCATGGAAGCTGTGGCTGCCCAGGGCAAAGTGAAGAGGTAAAGGCCAGCGGATAGACTACTTTCCCTGGGAACACCCGCCTTGCCCATCCCTTTCTCTGTCCCTCCCCACTGCACATGTCACACTGACCACATCTGTAGGCATCTGAAGTTGTAGCTGCAGATGGGTACCAGTGACTCCCATTTTTCATTTCAGCTATTTTTCTCCGGCACCCACTGTCTTCACACAATCTAGTCAAGATAGCACCTCCAGGGAGGGCACGGCTTCTCAGTCCAAGCCCAGGGAAAACTCCCCTTATCCAAAAGAGTTGAGAGGTAGTGACTTGGGTTTTTACCAGGGCTTTGTGTACTAAGGACCTGCTTGAGTAGGAGATAGGGAGGAACCATGCTAAGGCACGGCCAAAGAGGAGAAGCAAGAGAGCCTGTTTGCCCCCAGGAGCCAGTCCTGTGTTCTTCTGTAGTCAGGCCACTGCCTGGAGGGCTCTAGTCATTCCAGTGGAAGATAAATGTAACCAGCATGGTGATGTAAAAACAAAAAAAACAAAAAACAAAAAAACGGTTTCCTTCCTGACCCCAGAGGGGCCGGCTCTACTTGATGGGTGGGATCAATCCTGAATTAAGTTTCTGGTGCATTTATTTTACAAAAACGAAGTGTATAAATAATACAAAACAAAAGTCCTTGTGGGGTTTCTAGTGGCAGTTGAAATAATCCCACATGTGATCATCAGAAAATAAACCATTCCTTATACCAATATGGCACAAGCTCCGTGACTTGAAAGGGGTAGGAGTGCCTCCTGCTGTGTATTTTAGAATCCCTGCCCCGCCTTGTTTCATGGCAGTGAAATGCCTCTTGATCATGTCCAAGTGTGTCTTTCACTGCCTGTTTTCTGAATCATGTTTTAGTTACTTGGCCCTGCCACATGGGCCCAGTACTCATTTTGAGCATAACTGTACTAAATCTTTTTTCCAAATCAGTATAAGAAAGGAATGATATGCAAGAAAAAAGGAAAAAAAAAAAAAAAGAAGGTGAGGTTGGAAAGGAGAATTGTATCTAAACTCATAATTCTCACCCTTTAGGTTACATCAGAATTGCCCATTGGGCTTGTTAAAGCACAGGTTGCTGGGCCTCACTGTCTGATTCTGGGGATATGGAGTGGGCTCTCCTAACATTTCTGAGCTGCCGCTGCTGCTGGTTTGAAAACCACACTTTGAGAACCACCACGGTAGAGTGGAGACCTCAGGGAAGCTCCAGTGCTGTGCCAAAGAGTTTGAGCTTCACTCAAGAGCAGCAGGGACACATTCAGAACTTGGTGAAGAGGACGGTGATAAGCTTCTATGTACATATTAGGAATATGCCAGTGGACAAGAGGAAGATTAGTTGGAGCTAACCCTGTCATCTAGGTCAACTTAAATATGCTCATTGGCTTCTGTACTAAAAAGCTGAGAAGTGTACAGTGCTGTTTAATGATATCTCCAATAAAAGACATTTTATGCTGGGAGAAATCTGCCTATCAAAAGGAACTCATTCATCAAGGCTATGAAATACCTGAGGTCTCACTTTCATATTGCTTACCATGCTTACCTAGTGAAATTAAGAAAAATGTATTCTACGTGGTCTCTCTCTGATGTCCAAGTTTTCTTCTTTGAGTCAACATCCCTTGAGAGGCTTAAATGTTGACCAGTGACATAGCTGGCTGGCTGTAGGGTGACCTAGATGTGTATAAATATTTCACTAGGACAGATTAATAGAAAACATCAACTTTGTTTTCAATGTAACTTTTATTGATGTCACTCTTCTTTAGTGAATTGTAGTGAAGTGCTCAGATTACATATATTAATAATTGTGAAATTGCAAAAAGTAGAAAAATGTACAAAGAGATATAGTAAGTCTAACTTTTCATTCTCTCGCATGTTATACACACAATCTTCCCCATGGTGAATAAAAATTAATACTAGATATATACTAAAGACTGTAGATTCAGTCTTTTTTTTTTTCTTTTTCTTTTCTTTTCTTTTTTTTTTTTTTTTTGAGACACAGCCTCACTCTGTCCTCCAGGCTGGAGTACAGTGACACCATGTCGGCTCACTGCAACCTCTGCCTCCAGGATTCAAGTGATTCTCCCACCTCAGCCTCCCAAGTAGCAGGGAACTACAGGCACATGCCATCATGCCTGGCTAATTTTTGTATTTTTGGTAGAGATAGTGTTTCACCATGTTGGTCAGGCTGGTCTCAAACTCCTGACCTCAAGTGATCTGCCCACCTTTGCCTCCCAAAATGCTGGGATTATAGGCGTGAGCCGCCACACCCAGCCAGATTCAGTCTTTACTATAAAATAAATTATGAGCATGATATGGGAAAGGAACAAAAGAGCTTAGAAAGATGAACTCCAAAACATTAAACTGCTGATATTAATCTTAAAATCCATAATGCAGATCAGGTATCAGCAAACTACAACCCCTGGGCCAAATCTGGCCACTGCCTGTCTTCACATAGCCCATGAGCTGAGAACGTCTTATACAGATGAATGTTTGCACTCTGTTTGATGATAGACAACACTGACTTTGAAACCACAGTTAAGCAAAATATCCCCTCCAGAAAGAATTTGCCTCTTTTCATTATTAGACCTGTATTACAACAAAGTGGCCTCAATTATTACTATTGATTTTTGATAATAAACATTTGTGGAAATGTTCGTCTCTTTAATCTAAGTACCCACATAATATTCTTGATTTTGCCTCTTGGCCCACAAAACCTAAAATCTTTAGTATCTGGCCAGTTACAGAAAGAGTTGACCACCCCTGATGTAGACTGGGTTATATTTTCACTTCTCTGTGTGGTTTCCCCTGTTGCTAAGGAAATGCTGAACTGTGTTCCACAAATTTGAATACTCGTACCTAGCCTGTTTTTTAAGTTTGTATTGACTGTGTGGTGCTTGGGTTGTGTTGGGATCACAGTTTTAGCTTATATTATTATTACTTATTTATATTTATTTTTACTTCATGTTACTAGCAGGAGAATCATTTAAGTAATAGGAGTGTTATTATTCTGAAAAAGTGCTGTACAAAGCAGTACGATGCTTTTTCATTGTGTTTGGGAGTTTTGCAAAAGACAGCATCAAATAAAAGAAAATCATGCCTTTCAGGTTCTTCTTTCTAGGTAAGACAACTTGGCCCCTGAAGCATGAATTAATAGAGTTTATTAGCCCCAAATGGCAGCAGTGGATTTTGAGACAACATTGTCATTTAATTCTTATGAGCAGAACTTCTTTGGTCCCCGCAGGCCTCAGGGGAGCAATGGCATTTGCGTTGGCCATCCGTGACACGGCATCCTATGCTCGCCAGATGATGTTCACGACCACCCTTCTCATCGTGTTCTTCACCGTCTGGATCATTGGAGGAGGCACAACACCCATGTTGTCATGGCTTAACATCAGGTTGGTTTGGAACCAAGGCTAATTGAGTATGTCAGTTGTCACTGTTCCTGAGAATGTTCAACACCCTGTGCAGGATGTGCTACTTTAGTTCATGGAAGCCTTTTACAGTCTTTGGTTTTGTTTGTGAGGAGGGATTAACAATTTTTTTTTAAAACAATAAGTAAAAGTTTGGAGTATGGGGTTTTCCAGGAGGAAAAAAATGTAGTCATTAAAAATTTTTGTCAGTGCAAACATACAAAGAATGAGAAGTGCCTGGATCTTGCTAGAACAGTGACATTAGAGCAAAAATTTAAAAAGTCTTAAAGCTGCAGGACAGAAAATAGACCAAGAGCCCCTGGCAGAGTCCAGTATTTCATGTTCCTTTGAAATGAAATCCAGACTCTGAAGAATAAGCTCACCAGCCAGATATAGAGGCAATTAGAGTTTTATTTTAGCATGAAACTGTATGCTGTCTCTTCTTGCTTGAGTGTACAAAAGAGGTGACATTTTCTGGGTAACCCTCACCTGTTGCAGTTTCATGGACGTCCTCTGCCTGTGGCTTTGTAGCTGTGTCAGGACAGAAGGAGCACTGATACAAGTTTGACTTTTTCAAGAGTGCTTGAATTCCAAATTGTGTTTGTGAGCTCCAGCATCTTATGGTAAAGAAGTCATTGGAAATAGGGTTCAAGAGACCCACAGCCCAACTCTGGCTTGAATTAAAGACAAGCCTCTCATGTGTTTGGGCCTCAGGTTTCCTCAGCGTTAAGTGAAGACGCTCTGCCGGGTGATCTCAAGGGCACTTCAGCTCTAAGTGTTGTGCTGCACATCACTGGATGTGCTCTGGCCACTTACCACAATTTCAGGTCTGCACAGGGTGACCGTGTTCCGGAACAAGAAGACACTTGGGTAGTACAAAGGTGTGAAGAAAACTTCTTTGAAAAGCCACATGGTGGCAATGGTTTTTCTTTCTCTGCTGGCTTTTTTAGTTTGTATTCTCTAGACTGTAGAATGCCCGAGACAGCTGCACAGCGTACATACCTTGGAGGAGAGAAAATGAACAGAGATCTCCCAGTCATCCTTGGAGTTGGGGGGAAGAAACTAAAATTTGAGAGAATCATCTCCTGTATCTGGAGTTTTCGTATAGATGTTAGGCAGAGATTCCTGGGCTGCCACTTCTGCCACCAGCCACTGCCACTTCCACTGCCAGCTTCACCATTTCTGGGCTAGTGTATCCCTGCCTGAGATCCAGGTGGGTCTGCAGAACCAATATGGGGTTTATCAGTGTTAGTCATAATAATAAGTAACACTTATGTTTCAGGCATTGTTCCAGATACCATGCATATATTAAGATAATTCTCATAACATTCTTACAAGGGAGATAGGACTATTATCTCAATTTTAGAGTTGGGGAAACTGAGGCACAAAGCAGGAATTTGCCCAAGGTCACAGAGCTTTAAGTGGACAAGCTAGGATTTGAACCCAGGCGCTCATACCAGAGAGTCCACACTCTTAACCACTGTGCTATACTGCCTGTAAAGAAGAGTTATAAAATTTGGAAAGGTTAGAATTTCAATTACCTGGCATGAATCTCAAGGGTTGGATTAAGGAAAAGAATCCATCTTTGAGAATATAAACCTGAAGAAAATGTACAGTCTCTTACTTTTAAACTTAAGACATAAGATGGTACCATCTTTGTTCTATGTAGCAGAATTAGGACAAGAAAAAAGGTTTACCCTGCACACAGTTGAGAATCTTTGCATTTGGTGACCTCTGAGATTACTTCCTGCTCCTGTTTGTCTGATCACCTAGTAGATGCTCTGGATGCTCAGAGCCTCATTAAATCATGTTTGTTTTTCATGCTATTTTATAAATCCTTTTCTCCCCTTCCCCTCAAACATATACGGGACCAAATTTTCCGTTGAGAGTAGAGAGTTGACTTTTGACATTTTGCTCTTGTAACTGCCTTGGAGATCCATGTAGGTTGTTCATGTATCAAGTTTGTTCTGTTTTATTGCAGAGTAGTATTCCAAGGTGGGCCTGCCACATTCCTCCTCTGGTCCCTGCTGCCTAATTAGTGGCTCCAGCCAAACTCTGGATGTACCAGAGTTTGTTTCACCATTTACCCCTCGGAGGACATTTGGATAGTTTCAAGTTTTGGGCTATTAAAAATAAAGCCACTGTGAATATTCTTCTGTAGGTATTTGCATGGGCATAAGTTTTCACCTCTCCAAGATAGATGCCCAGGAGTGTGCCTTCTGGGTTGGATAGTAAAGATGTGTTTAGTTTTATTAGAAACTGCCAACTGTTTTCCAGAGTGGCTGTACCATTGTACATTCTCACCAGCAGTGTATGAGGGATCCAGTTTCTCAGCATCCTCCCCAGCGTTTGGTATTGTCAGTGTTTTTCATTTCAGCTGTCCCAGTAGGTATGTGGGAATATCTCATTGTGGTCTTAATTTACATTTCTCTCATAGATAATGATATTAAACATCACTTCATGTGTTTTTACCATTCATATGTCTTTGGTGAAGTATCTGTTCAAGTCTTTTGTCCATTTTTAAATTGGACTGTTTCTTTTTTTTTTTTTTTTTTTTTTTTTTTTTGAGACGGAGTTTCGCTCTGTCGCCCAGGCTGGAGTGCAGTGGCCGGATCTCAGCTCACTGCAAGCTCCGCCTCCTGGGTTCACGCCATTCTCCTGCCTCAGCCTCCCGAGTAGCTGGGACTACAGGCGCCCGCCACCTCGCCCAGCTAATTTTTTGTATTTTTTAGTAGAGATGGGGTTTCACCGTGTTAGCCAGCATGGCCTCGATCTCCTGACCTCGTGATCCGCCCATCTCGGCCTCCCAAAGTGCTGGGACCATGGACTGTTTCTTTGTTGAGTTTTTAGAGTTCGTTATTCTAGACTGTAGTCTTTTGTCAGATACATGGTTTGCAAATATTTTTTCCCAGTGTGTAGCTTGTCTTTTTTTTTTTTGAGACGGAGTCTCACTGTGTCTCCCAGGCTGGAGTGCAGTGGCACCATCCCGGCTCACTGCAAGCTCCGCCTCCCAGGTTCACACCATTCTCCTGCCTCAGCCTCCTAAGTAGCTGGGACTACAGGTGCCCGCCACCACGCCCGGCTAATTTTTTGTATTTTTAGTAGAGATGGGGTTTCACCGTGTTAGCCAGGATGGTCTCAATCTCCTGACCTCGTGATCCACCTACCTCGGCCTCCCAAAGTGCTGGGATTACAGGAGTGAGCCACCGCGCCCGGCATTTGTCTTTTGATCATTTTAATAGGGTCTTTCATAGAGCAGAAGTTTTAATTTATAATTTATCAATTTTTTTTTTCTTTTATGGGTCATGCATTTGGTATCATGTCTAAGGACTCTACCAAGCCTTAGGCCTGAAGATTTCTTCTGTGTTATCTTCTAAAAGCTTTTTAGTTTTACACTATACATTTAAGTCTGTGATCCATTTTGAGTTAATTTTTGTATAAGATGTGAGGTTTAGGTTGAGGGTTTTTTTTTTTTTTGCCAATGGCTATCTAGTTGTTCTAACATAATATGTTGAAAAGACTATCCTCACTCCATTGAATTAATTTTGCTTCTTTGTCAAAAATCAGTTGTCTGTATGCATGGGGTTGTCTTTCTGCACTGCTCTATTGGTTTATGTGTCTATCCTTCCAAGACCATACTGTCTTGATGACTATAGTTATACAGTGAACCTTAGTATCAGTTAGAGTGATTCCTCCCACTTTATTGTTGTGGCTATTCTACTTCCTTTCCACATAAATTTTAGAACACATTTGTCTACATGTAAAAAAAAATCTTGCTGGGTCTTTCATAGGAATTATGTTAAACCTTTACATTAATTTTTGGGGAGATTGACATCTTTATTTTGTTGAGTCTTCCAATCCATGAACATGATGTATTTCTCCATTTATTTACATCTTCTTTGATTTCTTTCATTCGACTTTTGCAGTTTTCAGCACCCATGGCCTGTACATGTTTTGTTAGAACTTGTATCCTGTCACCTTACTGCTGAACTCACTTATTCGTTCTTTAGCTCTGAAAGTGTTTTGGTCCTTTTTTTTTTTTTTTTTTTTTTTTGGTAGATTCTTTGGAATTTTCTGCATAGACCATATAGACCATCATGTTATTTGTAAATAGCGACAGTTTTTTTTTTTTCTTCCTTTTCAACCAGGGTACCTTTTGTTTCCTTTTCTTGCCTTATTGCTCTGGTTAGGATTTTCACTACTGTGTAGAATAAGAGTGGTATAAATGGACATCCTCATCTTTTTCTGATCTTAAGAGGAAAGCATTTGCCAGGTAAGGTGGCTCACACCTGTAATCCCAGCACTTTGGGAGGCCGAGGCAGGTGGATCACAAGGTCAGGAGATCGAGACCAGCCTGACCAACATGGTGAAACCCCATCTCTACTAAAAATAAAAAAAATTAGCTGGGCATGGTGGCAGGCGCCTGTAGTCCCAGCTACTCGGGAGGCTGAGGCGAGAGAATGGCGTGAACCGGGGAGGCAGAACTTGCAGTGAGCTGAGACCACACGCCACTGCACTCCAACCTGGGCGACAGAGCGAGACTCCATCTCAAAAAAAAAAAAAAAAAGAGGAAAGCATTCAGTCTTTCTTTATTAACTATACTATTAGCTATAGGGTTTTTGTAGATGTTCATCTTCAAGTTGAGGAAGTTCCTATCTATTGCTAGTTTTATGAGAGGGTTTTTTTTTTTTTTCATGAACAGGTGTTGAATTTTATCAAATAGTTTTTCTGTATCAATTGATATGATCATATGATTTTTCTTGTTTAACCTATTAATATGACGAATTACATTAATTACTTTTCAAATATTGAACCAACTTTGTTTCTCTGAAATAAACCCCACTTGATGTGGTACATTATTCTTTTACATATTGCTGAATTATATGAGCAAACATTTTGTTAAGGATTTTTATGTCTGTATTCATAAGGGTTATTGGTCAGTAGTTCTTTATTTTTTATACTGCTTTTGTCTGGTTTTGGTATCA